CATAACAGTTTGACATCTTAACATCTTTGTTTATAAAGACCTGCTGTAACGGCTTCACCTGTATATTCATCAACTTTTTCTTTTGCACTTTCTTTCAGTCTAACTGCTGTGATATCTGTCAATATCCGCTTTTTGGTAAGTTCATTTAAGGTACTCCTTCCTCACATTCCTTTATTGTTCTGTAAATTATTGCAGAGGAGATATTAGGTCCTTAAAACATGTTAACAATATCCGATTTTAGCATTCGGCCAACTAAATTATAAATGCTTTTTCGGATTTTGGTTTGTACGCCATGACACAATTTTTATTAATAGAACTGTCAATATTTATGTTGACAAGGCCTAAATAAACACACTTTAGGCAACGGTTACAAGATGGGTAATTCCAGAGTGATAAAGCATAGTTAGAAAATGTGTCTCAAAACTTTTGTTACATACGTTATTCTTATAGAAACTTTCATAACTATCTAGCAGACTTGGTTCCCTAACTTTCTTAATAAGTTTAAGGTTGTCAAGTCCATGACCATGATCAAGTAATGTTGGGCAACACTCTGTCCTACCAAATCTAGCATAGGCCAAATGCTCTTTGGACCTTACTTAGATGGGGAGTTTAGTTTCTTGTCACAATCTTGGCAGTTTATTTCTTGGCTTTTTAATTTCAGGAATCTTATCTTTGAGGTTGCCAAAATGGTCTAAAGTGTGTTACTGCTTAAACTAAAAGCAATTTTGAAGTCCAGTTTTCGAAAAATCCCTTTCAGACCTCGGGTGTACTGGGGTTCGAAAGGAATAGTCATAAACTTGATTTTTGTGGGCTCTTTTAGATTTGTTTGAAAAGTGAGACTTAAATTTAATTTTATTTACTAACTTATCTACTAGGGTGGGTTCAAAACCATTGTATCTAGCAACTTCCAATCCTAGAAACTTAGATACTTAATCTTTGCAATAGCTTTTAGCTCTTTCAGCTATGCAGCAATGAAGTGAAAGTATGCATTATTGTGAGGCAACAGCCATTAATTGATCGTCAAAAAATGGAACTTTTTTCGGATTAAAAGATGCAAAGGGCTTTGAAATTGTAGGTAGTACTTTTTATTGTTAATTTATCGTCATTTCACCTTTGCATGTTTTTGTCAGCTGTTGATGTTTATACTCTGACAGTACTAAACTATTCATTTATTTAATAATTACAAAAACCCTTATAGCTTAATTCATTCAACCATGATTAGGATTATGATATAATATTTTATACTAACCATTTAAATAATAATAATAATAATAATAATAATAATAAATAACTTTATTCTTAGCTTAAATAAACATTAGAAAGACATGGACATAGGACATAGGACAGAAAATACTCTGCTTCCTTAGATTGGTTAGAATAAGTTCCTTATTTTTATGTGCGATAGTTCCTCGTTTGCCCATTTATTTCTAGGTCAACATTTAACGTAAAACATTATTGCTGTTATGTAACCCAGAAGTCACATTGCAATGTAACAATGTTGGTAAAAAGAAACATAAGAGTTACCTAAAATAATATATTATTTTAGGTATAATTTCATTGTTTCTATCCCAAATTACTCAATAAGCAATTGAACAACAACGTGACATTGGTATACTATTTTAATATAATAAAATTACCAACAGGCAATGTAACACCAACGTAACATTGTAAAACTATCGTAATATAACACAATTACCATAAGCAATGCAACAACAACGTAACATTCTTAGTCTGTTCGCTTCAAAGAAAAGTTATTAGGATCATCGCCGGACTTGGGTACCGAGAATCTCGGTCCGAGATGACTGTAGGGAGACCTTTAGGGCTCTGGAAGTTCATTTTTATCTAGCAAAACCTTTTGCATATTAAAAATAATATGAGTTTTGTATGATTTTCATGTAACACGGCATACTCACAACACTAGAAATAACAATAAACTGATACCAAAATTTAGTACAGTAGGCTTCGGAAAAGTGATATTTTATAATAAATTACCCAGCAAAATAAAGCTTCAAAATTCTTTTAAATTAAAAGTAATCTTCATACTTAAAAACAATGTTTTTTATGACTTAGATAAGTTTTTTAATTTTAATTTCTATATTTAAGTTTTATTTCTCAAGAATTTTTATAGTGGGTTTTGTATTTGTATTTTTAGGATGTATTTTACCTATTGTATAAATTAACATAGGTACTGCTCTCACAGGAGTTATTTGTATTTGACGATGTATTGTTGTTGTTATTATTATTATTATTATCATTATATAACATGGATCTTCATATCTGCACTTTTCCATGAGACGGTGGCTAATGCATCCTTATTGGACTGCAGACATAATAATTGTTTCCATAAAATCAATTTCTAAAGTCTAATTTATGATAAACAACAAGAAAACAGATTCCTCCCTTTACCAAATTGTTATTTTAATAAACAGGGTAATAAAATTAATGTCTAATCTCCGATACAGCTTTCCTGACGATCACACGTCCTCGGGTGCAATTATAATATTTAGATTTAACGTTTTACAATTAAAAAACATTCTAGATCCCCGCTACATTACCAGCTGCTCATCACGCCCTGATCAACCACTATAGACAGCCTGGCGCGACCTGCATCACTAGTGCCTCTTTCAGCACTATTCACGGTGTCTCTTTCAACACCTTATAACGGCTATAACCTTATAACGGCTAGTTGGCAAACATATGGTGTTTACCTTAAACCGAATGGTTAGATACTCTTTTACAATTTTTGAAGCTGGACAAGGTACGTTAATTTTGACTGGGGAGCAGACATTTATTTTCCGTGCCAGTCTTCCCTGCGATATTTTATTGGGCGTATAATTTTCATTATGACAACTACTGCAGTTTGCAGCAGACCCATAATTTTTAAAAATATTTCTTATTGTTTGTTTCGTAGGGATTGGGCAATTTGGAAATGCAAAAGCAAAACGCCCAAGCGCTTGGTCCTGTGTTAAAAACTATATGATAAGTTCAGTCCTTATATCTGTGGTATAAATGTACATTTTCATCTCAAATACTAGCGGCCGACCTAAACGCCTATAATGTAGGCCCTACATCTAGAATCTAGATTCTAGATGATCTCATTAAACACCTTATCCCGTTGGTGCGCCCCACTCCGCTACAGTATCGCCAATCAACCGATCTTAATACATCCATTGCTGTCTTAAATCAATGTATCCTTGTCCTACACATAAATTGCCATAACGCTTTAACCCTCTCTGTGTAGCTATAAGGACAGGTCTAAAATTGTCGCAGCTGCAACCTATAGGTTGCAGATTGCAGAATATAAGCCTGCGCAAAGCACCCAGCGACGTTTATCGGCGGAAAAATACATTTGTATAAACTTTTTATTATGGGTATTTTTATAACGATATTTTGTTAAAAACATCTTAAAGCAATAGATTTTGGTAAAGAAATATATTTAGATAATTATGTTTTGATTTTATGACACCTCAAAGTAGAATGTTTTTAAACCAGTAAAATTGGTTCAAAATTACGAACACATTTAATAACATGTCTTTTAACACAGCAAAAAATAAAAAAAATAATATTTTTTTGCAATAAAAAAGTATTAAAAGGTTTTAAAATAAAACCCGTTACGTTTTTCGATTAAAATATAGTTAATTATAAGTAATAGGTCATATTCAACAAAGTAAAAAATAAAAAATTAATATTTTTTGAAAAAAAAAAAATTGACGCTCTATGAACATCTAAAACGCATTTAGAAATTAAAAACCTTTATGTATTTTTATAATCCAATAATCTTTATAAAATACAGTCAAAAATATAAAAGTTTGTGAATTATTTCTGCAAAACAGTGCATTATGATAATCTAAAAACACATTTAAAAAATAAAAAAAAATGTATTAATATTTATTATTATTTATTTGTAATAAAAAAGTTATTGAATTTTTTCCGCAAAGCGCACCATAGTGCGTTGCTGGCTTATGTTCTGCGAACTGCGACCTGCGACAATTGTAGATTAAATTAAATTTTTTTTTAAAAATATATCTACTTATCTGGATAAATAAATTATTGCATCTCCCAAGTAAAGTAAGTAACGTTCTCATTTTAAACCTATTAAAATATTTTGTTACTATTTAAAAAGTTGCAGGAGCAATTTTAATCTTTACTATAAACGCTGTTTTCATAAAATCGTTCGAATTAAGTTCTATTTAATGAATTTCACGTTAAAGCAACTTTAGCAAATTGGCTATACTATTTTTCATTAGGTAAAGAAGCAATACACTTAAAATTGTAAGTTTGTGCCTATTTAATATAAATTTTCTCAGCGATTTCCTTTTGCACTTTTTAAGATCTGTTCCAAAAACGCTATTAAATCGGATTATTTATTACATTTTGTTTTTAATAAAAATCATTTGATCCTTTAATTTATTTTTATATACATGCAGTAAACCTCTTGTTTTTGATACCGTGGATTTTAAAATTTTAGGCGTAAGATTTTTTTATAACTATATATGCATCAAATGTATTGTATTGTTTTCGAAATTCTATAATACAATTTGCTGTTTAGCTTACGAAAATTTGTCTTGGGTCTCATCTGCTCAAGCTACTTATTAAAGTAGGGTGTTTTTTTAAAATTTGCTACTTTATTTTACATAGATAGTGGCTTCTATCGAAATTAATTAAGCAATCTGAGTATGGCATTTTGCACAGCATACTAGATTGCGACTGGATTCTGATTGGTATATTGCTTTCTAAAAAAAGTAAATTTTCAAATTTTAAAAAACACCTCCCAGATCTAAAACTTGACCTTGATTATTGGCAAAAGTCCTCTCTGCGATTGTCATAACTATATATAGTTATGGCAATCGCAGATACTTATACGTTAATACCCAATTAAACAAAAGATTAATTTTATTAATTTAAAATTTGCAAAAAGTATAAAAACCTTGTATTAAATAAAAACTTATCTTAAAATACTACAGAATTAATTTAAATGCAATAATTTAATTTGTTGGTAGGTTGGGTTTCTTTGGGAACAATTTCCACTCAAAAAAACATAGTCGGATATCCCTTTATAACTTTAAAATCATTCAGCGATGGCATGGCTGAAACTGGAACCGGCATACCATATTTATACATGACGGATATGGATGTATCTGGAAAAGATGTTAAGGTAAACAAACAATATTATTTATAAAATTAAATAATCTACGTAATTTTAGATAAACAATAAAGTAACAATTATGGCTTCATTGGCAGAGGAAAATTATTGTTCATTGAAAAATTTTGATCCGCAAGATCCGAGATGCGCCAAAGTTATGATAACTGGGAAAATAATTAAAGTATTTAGTTGTATATTTATTAAAGTATTTAGTAGTAGGATGTTTCCACACCCTCTGACCAAATCACAAAAAAGTCGTCTTCTTTCACCAGAAATTCGGCACAAAGGTAGCAAAAGTCTGCACGTTTCATGAAAAAATCACTACCTTAAACAAGAATGGGGTGAATCCTAACAAAAGTTAGGATTCACCCCATTTATTTTTTCAGGCGGGGGTGGGGGGTTGGCAATATCCTTTATAAGTTCCTACCTATATATTTATGTGTTTATATTTTTAGGTCAACGATAAAATAGAATATGAATTTGGCAAAAAAGCCTTATTCGACAAACATCCATCCATGAAATCTTGGCCAATAGGTAAATTCATAAATATGAGGTGTGGTTGAAAAATAACTGGAATTTCCATTGGAATTCTATTTTTTATTTGTTTACGTTAATGTTATGCCCTAAATACTCTCCATTAAATATTACACACTCATGCAAGCTTTAATATTATTCCAAAATTTTACAAAAATAAAAGAAAACCTTAAACTGTACAAAAATAGATGAGATTAAAAGCGCATCACTAAAATATAATTAATTAATATATTTTATGGATGCGCTTTCCTTGTAAAATTTAGGGTTTTCTATTATTTTTAGGAATAATAAAGTCACAGAGAGACATGTCAGATGAATCAGGTGTTGTTTTCGACCAAAAATACACACAAATACGCGGTGTGAGTAGGCATTATCGTGAGGCGAAAGCCACTGATTGTTTCGCCACGATTTTTTATCGAATGTATGCAGGTAAACGTCCTTTACCTTATAAAAAGTACTTTTTATTAATCGTTAAACATTCCTTCCACTTTTTCCTCAAACAAAATCCTGGCTACTCCCTTTCGTGTTTTATTTGTAATAGACTCATCATTTTAAAGCAACATTTGATGCAATCCATTTTTTTTAACAAATGGTATTCCTGGCGGTCTAAAGGGTTAAATGTGAAATTCGCGGGTTCATCCTCCGGCTCTTTTCCCCCATTAAAAAAAAGTTCTAAATCGTTTTATCTCAAGTCCTATTGGTCAGACAAAAACAGTGTAAATACAAAAAAATGATGGGGTTAAAGTTTGTAACATATTTGTTTAAAGTACCTATTTTTTATTATATTTTGACCGCCTAAAATTGCTTGAATCTAAAAAAATATTAATGTTGTAGATCTCGAAAATATCTATAAAAAATATTAATTTTGTTAACCCTTTCCGAGTTACAGCTGTTCAAAGTTGAGTACGGTCTTTAAGAGCGTATCTAACTTTGGGCCGCTTTTACTCTAAAACTTTTGACAAAATGTTATTAACAGTAGTTATGTTTTTTATAGATATTTTAGATTTGCAACATTTCTATTTTGAATTTTTAGTTTTAGGGTCAACATAATTTTTTTGGAAACTTTGGCGCTCTCTATCTTTTTAGGAACACATATGTTGAAAATTAAAAGCTCTACATTTTTTGTTTTTACACTTTTTTTGTCCAACCAATAGGAAACGCGATAAAACGATTTAAAACTTTTTTGAAAAAACGGGAAAAGAGCCGGAGGATGAACAGGAAAATTTTACATTTAACCCTTTAGACCGCCAGGAATAACATATCCAAAATCCAGCCAGTTCGAATTTTTTTTTTGATTTTTGGACAGAACAGAAAAGATTTTGGCTCTGTGCGATAAAAAAAATTGAGGGTGCATCTTTTTTTAGTTATTTGGAAGCTTTTTAGGGGGCCGCACGACCAACATTTTTTTTACCCAATCTAATTGTTAGGTACCCTAATGTATTATTATGAAAATAACAAAGTCCCATGTGAAAGCCATATCATATGCAATTCAAAGCTTCGAATTGCGGTGTTGCCAGATTTTAACGTTTACTGCTTGTTGATTGTACAAAAGCACACTTTTGACCGATACAAATTAATCTACTAATCTACAATATTATTGCAAGTTTGATCTGTTTTTTGCCGTGGTCTAATTAAGACTGAATCACATCACATCGCGCACCACCATGAAGGTGTATGATATACGGACCCCCAGGAATCCCAGAAAATTGTTTAAAAAAATCTACCTTCGTTATTTAAAAAAAAGGAATATATAAAAAAAATATTATACCACTCAAAATTTACCCAAAGAAAATCGTAACTGTTGAAACAAAACCAATAACCACTAAAATAAACAAGTAAACAACCATTAATTAAGTACTTCGGACACATTTATTATCATTATACTAATGTAAATTATGTTTGTTATTTTCATAATAAAATTCTATATCCATTTGTTTTACATTAAATAAATGGTTTATTTCATCTGAAACAATTACACCGTCTTACAAGGATTTTGCAACAGACCTAGGATTTTTTTGGTGTTGGGGGCACCTAAATGCTTAGAAAATGCAAAAGAAATCAGAGGTCAGCCAAGGAATTTTTTTCTAATAGCCAATTTAGGAAATTTAATAACGAACATTTTGATATGTTTAGTCTCCATTTTTTTAATCTACTTATCTAAGAAGGTGTACAAATTATCTTATAACAAGAGTTGGAACAACTTAAAACGACGCACTACCTGTATGTGCACGATCTACGCGTCCAAAATTATTGTATGCTTTATTGGTATCTATATAACGTAAATAAATAAAAAAAAATTATTTTTATAACAAAATTATGTATTTTCCAAAAAAAATTATTTATTTACAAAAAATAAAAATGTTTAGGTACGTAAAAATAAATAAAAATATAATAATAATAAGTTTCTTGACTTTCTTCGTCGCTTTCTGATGAATTTTCTGATATATTGGATTCTACAGATACAAACATGTTTTTGCTTTCTTTTTTTACAGTTCGCATGCTACTTAGCACAGGATCTGAACTAAGAAGCAGGGCGGTTAAAAATATCCTGATTACAATTTTCCCTGGAAAATTTTCTCTCAAAATTAAAACGCATTTCTTCCGTCTTTCGCCTCCTCTCACTTGAGTCTTCGAACGACTTGGATGGTCGACCTGGTTGTTTTTGTGAAGTCTCAATAACAGGTATTTTAAAAGTACCTTCCAGCCAAGACCGATTTTATTTTATAAAATTACCTTCTTTATAATGAGCTTTGGTCCACCTTTGTTTAATTTCTGATTTGAAATTGGCAAAACCACGTTTCAAACTAAAAATTTGGTCTTCATTATAACCTTCACATTACATAAGTTGATATTTTAGATAGTTTAATTTGGCATCTAAATTAGGCAAATTTTCTTTCTTTATGCGTCCAAACAAGTATCGTCGGGTCACAATCATTACTTCTGATACACCCTCAAACATACACTTTAAAAGTTGCTAAAAAATATTTAAAATTTTATACGATATTTCGCTAAATATCTTTAATCCCTCAAAACTGTATTTATCCGGATGTTTCCGGAGATGTTTTTGATATTATTTATAAGGAAAACCCTACCAACCATGTCGACATCGACAAATATGTCGACAAACGTGTCGACACCTAAATTGATTAAATTTTTCAAAAAACTACTTCAGAAAACATCAAGGATACTCTAATGTGCAGTAAATTAACAATTTTAAATTTTTTCAATCATGAATTAGCCGATAATTTCACATTCTGACCTTGGCGACACGCGACTACGACATGTCGACATGTCGTCACTTACGTCGACTGTCGTGACTACCACAGTTCCAACGACCATTTCAAAGTCGACATGTATGTCGTCAGTAGTTACGACATCCCATCTAGTATATTTTCACTGAAAGCGTGTCTTTTTACAGCTTTATCTGAGATCCAACGATAGAATATATCGAATAATTGAATACTAAGCACCTTAATACACAAATAACAAAAAAATTGTGTGCCGATAATGATGTCGTCATGTCGACTCGTCAACATCTACGTCTGCTGTCGACTTTACATAGTGTGGTCGACAAAAGTATCGACAATAGAGTCGACGATATAATTTTCGAATCAATATAATATATACACTAGAAAAACGTTGCACTCACATTAATTCATCAAATTTAGTGGATATCAAAATTTGAACCCTCTAGAAGCTCATAGTTTGTACAGTCACTTCGACGACACGCAACGACTACATGTCGACACATCGTCATTCACGTCGACTGTCGTGACGACACATTATGAACTACTAACTAATGACGATAATAATGTCGTCATGTCGACATGTCTACTGTCGTGTCGACAGCTGGCGTCTAGCACGCCGTCCGCACAGACTGAGTACGTGCGCATGCGCATATAGTTTACGTTGTGTGTGAGTGTGTCAACTGCAGTCAGCTGTTTCGCTATGTTGGCCATGAGCTTGCATATCTGAGCTGTGTGAAATTCAGTGCCATTGTTGCTGCGAAATCCAGCTGAATCTCGCTATAAATCTAGTCAATACAGTGCAATAAATCGTTCGCGTATGCCGTTCCAGTGATTTCTTTGTAAGTACGAAAATTTAGATAACCTCAAATACCTCGCTATCCAAGATGCAATCGTATTTTTTCATAACCTATCCTTTGTATTTATTAAAATTAATGCTGCATGTAAATCGTTCACCATAGGGTCTTTATCTATTACAATTTAAGCATTCTACATTTTGCGACGCGGCGACAACATGTCGTCATTCACGTCGACATGTCGTCACTCACGTCGACTGTCGCAATAACAATTTACTTGATTACACAGAACATAAGGAATCAAAAGTCTTACAACGAAGATTTTAAAGTTATACTCAAATTAATTTTCTTATCGCCAGAACTATGTAAAAAAAATTTTTCGTTTTGGAAAGTCTGAAAAAGCTATGATTGGATTTTTTCAAACTTTGAAAAACATGTTTCTTGAACTCATTACGTCAACAATATAGGACAATAAATAAATCTAAAGCAAGGTTTTCCAGTGAAGGAAAGGAAGTTCATGATCTTATTTTTCACGATTTCTGTTTCAGATGCAGTTGCTAAACGGTTCCCAATGAGCAAAGATGTGGAACAATATGTCGGAGCAAAATTGAGGATGTTGAAGGATTCGACGAAGAGGAGAAAAAATACTGTCTACAAAGAAGCTAAAAAAGACTACAAGAAAATAATAAAGGAAGAGAAAAAAACACAAAAATGGACAAGGTGCTCGAGAGAAGAAAGAGAACAAGCTTGAGATACAAGAAAAGATGCAAGAGATTCAAGAAGTCACAGAAAGCGCCGACGGGAGTAACAAAGATGCAGTGGAACAAATTTGTTCCACTGATTAATCAGCGAAGACGAAGAAGAAGACAGAAGACTGATTAATCAGCGAAGACGAAGAAGAAGACAGCAAAAAAAACAACGGAAGCGAAAGTGACAATGAAACAAGTCAGAGTACGTCGGGTACAGACAATGATTGTAGTACAAAAAATGAGGGCAGTGAGAGTGAGAGTGAAAAAAGCGAGTCTGCGAGAAAAAACAAAAAAATATGTAAAGAAAGAAAGGATGAAGAAACGCCGAGTCAAGTTTCGAAAAATTGATTTAAAACTCGTAATAAAATATCAATTGTTCTCATTTCCAGAAAACTATGTCTCATCTTATAAATATATATATATTCTATTGTAAATTGGTTTTGTTTGTTTTGCAGGTTCATTAAGATAACAATGAATGTCTAGGCTCGACGTATTATGGTCCTTGAGTCATTGCATCAACTACACGTCAACATTCCAATCGACAAACGACACGATTTTCTATACCGTCAACATGGCGACATGACTGTCGGCTTTTGACGACAATGGTCGACGCCGTTAATACGTCGACTTAACCGTCGACCGTCGACGTCGACAGTAGTGTTGTCAACGTTATGTCGAAATTCATACCGTTTGTCGATGTCGTCAGCGACAAAGATGTCGTGACGAAAAGTGACCGATGTCGATGTCGACAGTCGTGTCGTCAACGCTATGTCGACATTTATGTCATTAGTCGATGTCGTTGACGACTCAAATGCAGTGACGAAAAGTGACCGATGTCGAGTGTCGACATTCATGTCGTTTTCCATGTCGACATGGTTGGTAGGGAATGATCAAATAATGACCTATAATAATAACCCTAGCCCGATCTACCCCGATACATAAACAAAAACACTAGTAAAGAAAAAATATTGAAGGAAATCACGGTATGAAAATAAGTATTTTCTTTATAAAAAAATAATGCTCTTGAATAGTAGATCATGACTTAATCAATGTAGTTTGTAAGTTTCTTACCTTGTCCATCAGAATCCATCACTTTCAATTCGTAAGAAGAACTTGATAACATAAAAATTCACTTTGGAATTTTGACGTTTAGAAAAGCGCCAAGAACAGAACCGTACGAGAACACTATGTGAAACTATCAAATTTAGACTGGCGCACAGTAGGCTAGAGCGCGCTTCCAGCGCGAAGAAATTCAAAATAAGTAAGTGTTTTATTTCGATCAAATTTAGGGAATTTTGAATTCTTTAATATCTGTAGATAATGAAACATCTTTAAATCACCTTCAAATCTGTTGAATTTTTATCAGGTAACCAGTCAAAGTTTAGGAATTATAATTACTTGCTTCGTGTTGATAAATTGAGCGTAAAAGTATTGCTTCTCTTACAATGTGTATTATTAATTTATTATTACTTTTTGACTATAATTGTATTAAATATTGTCATACGTTATGGCTGGAACGAATAATGGTTAGTTTTTATTATTATTGTACTGTCACTACCTTAATAAAGTAACCGCTGCATACTTTTAATGTATGTATGGACATTATTAAGGTTTTAAAAAATGTGACTCACTGTCACACTCTGTGTTTAGTTTTTTTTAATAGCTTACCGTTCTGTCTTTCAAATAAATCTTAAATCAAGTGCTAGTAGGCGCAACAAATATGGTTTGTTTATTTTTTTCAGTTAATACATTATCCCTAACTCATACGGAGCTTTGTGAAAAGTGTTTTAGTTTGAAGCATTTCAATATAAAATTAGTTTTAAATTACTAAGTAGACTACGCATTTACAAAAATAGATGTATCTCGAAAAAAAAAATTAATTCAATTTTTTTTTAATATGGAAAAACGCTTGAAGCCCAGAACAAATATCATTGTATTAAATATTGTCATACATTGGTGATGGAAACCATCAATTAAAAAGCTACTAACAACTACTAACAAATTGTTAGTAACAATAAATAATTTTGATACTGATAACTATAAGTGAATATTAATACTTTTTGCCACCACCGCAGTAGGCTAGAGAGCTCTTCCTGCGCGCGAAAATTTAAAATGAGTAAGTGTTTTATTTCGACAAAATTTAGTAAATTTTGAATTCTTTAATATCTGTAGCAAATCAAATATTGTTATATCACCTTCAAATCTGTTGAATCTTTATCAGGTAACCAGTCAAAGTTTAAGAATTATAATTACTTGCTTTGTGTTGGTAAATTGCGGTTGAAGGCTTCTCTTACAATGTTAATTCCTAATTTATTTTTAATTTTTGACCATCATTGTATTCAATACTGTCATACGTTATGGCCGGAACAAATAATGGTAAGTTTTTATAATTATTGTACTGTTCCTACGTCAATAAAGAAAGCGCTGCATATTTTTTATGTATGTATGAACAATACTAACGTTTTAAAAAATGTCACGCATTCTCACACTCTCTGTTAAGTGTTTTTAATAGCTTATTGTTCTGTCTTTTAAATAAATCTTAAATCAAGTGCTAGTAGGCGCCACAAATATTTTTTGTTTGAAGCATTTTAATAGAAAGTTGGTTTTAAATTACTTAGTAGACTAAGCATTTACAAAAATAAATGGATCTCGGAAAAAACTTCATTCAAAAATTTAATTTTTTTCAAAAAATATAGTAAAAACGCTGAAAGGCCAGAAGTAATATTATTGTATAAAATACTGTTATAAGTAACAATTAGGTTTTATTTTATAAATGTTCAGTTATATTTTTTTAATTTACTCATTAAAACTATAGATCTTAATTTTGCCATCACACAAACATACTTTTGTTGTTAAAGTATATTGTGGTTTTGTTTTACTTTTGGTAGTAGAAAGTAATTTTTATTAAAATTTCATCAATAAGACCAAAAAAATTAATATTAACTAAGAATTACTTAACCAAATAATTTCTGCGCGATAAATTGGCTCTCCAGCCCACTGTGCGGCGCTACGGTTGCGCGGTAGCAGGTAGATTGAGTAACCGAATTGTTCTCGGGTTCGTACTCTCTTCATGTAACTCGTTTATAAGAATGTTGTAATTTTGATTTTGGGACTTTTGGCCGCATAGATCGTGCAAATACCTGTATGTGCGACCTTATAATACGTCAATAAAATTGAAAAATATAACTTTTCACACATTTGCCACTTCTGTTGTAAATGCGAAAAAAACGTAAAGATTAAATAATTTTTCAAGTCCAAATGTACCAAAATGTTCGTTATTAAATTTTTTACCCCATTGGGGGAAAATCTACGGTTGTATTGATTTTGAAAGTTAAAGTTAGATATAGATGACGAAAATGACGTTTTCGTTAGATTTGCTAATGGGCGTAAATCAACAAATGGAAAATTTCCGTATTTTCCGAACACACCTGATACATACAGTCTCAGAAGACATTTTTTGCTTAATTTGACCCCTTAGCATTATAAACTTGGTTATACTGTTATATTACTAAATTTCTGGTTGCTGATATTTTTTTTTATTTTCTAGATCACAAATTCTACGTTGCTAAAATTGATATTTTTCAAATAGAAGTATTGGACTTCTTTGGAGGCATTAAACATGTTACAAATGAGGATTACTTTCATCCAAATGTAACTTTTCTTGATTATTTTCCTGAAGTTAAAATTATTGATGTAATAGCATAGGTTTAGTAAACGACTTAAGGTGCGTACTAAAATGGTCGCGTTAAAGCGCTTATAGATAAAGAACATAACATCGTCGCGTTTGCGGAATAAAAAAATACAACGTATAAAACATCGCCGTGTATCATTTGTATTCATATTTTGCCGCTTTATTTTAGCATAGAACCGATAAACATAATAATGAAATGCATGCCTATTCAGACTGGCGAAAATATCTTCCAGAGGTGTGTCCAAACTGGTTACTCATTGGCGTTATGTTACTGTGTTATGTTCTCTGTCTGTTCGCGAGTGTTTGCGGTGGATAACGATAAATTTAACGTAACAAAACTTTTGATGTGACCACAAAATACTAAAAATTGGTTACACGTTCGTGTTACGTTAATATATTCTGTTATCTGCCTGTACTCGCCTTAAAATGTATACACAACATTTAAACCATTTGCTTTTAGTTTTTATTTAACTTACTAAAAACTAATAAAAACATTAATGTATAGTAGCATTCTAAACAACAATTATTTTTACCAGTACCAGAAAACAACGATATAGTTTCAGAACCCGACTAAAAAGATGTTATATAATTATATACAATTATATATAATTGTATATGACTATATATAATACCTTATTAAAGTGTCAATATAATTTTATAAAATCATATACCTACCTACAATTGTATATAATTGTATACCTATATTTCTATATAATTGTTTAGAAGTCTCTTTTAAGGTAGGTAAACTTGTTTTTAATTATATAAAATTATTCACGGTTTGACCGGAAGTGATATCAACTTTGATATTTTAAATAGAATATCCCATATATTTTTACATTGTTAAATTCTACATAAAATTCTGAGTAAAATTAATCTTTCATGTCCTATACCTAAAGTGAATAATTTTTAAGTCATTAATTTTACAAATTTTACAAATGCGCGTCAATCAAAGATAGCATACCTATAACTTGTTTGCTTGTTTACGGATATAGAGGTGAAATTTTTGGAATCTTAAAACATTGTTTAAAATATTTCATGTCAATTCTTTAACAAGTTTTAACAATTGTTTAATTTAAATTACCTAAGAAAACCCAGGGCAAATTAGGCTAACTTGAAACGTTAATAACTTTTTTATTTTAAATGAAACATCCTGTTTGTTTTACATAATCAAATAGAAAATTAAAAAACATTTAGATTGATGTAATTATTCCCTATAAATAAATTTTATAATTTTAAAGGTATTTAACAATTTCTAATATTAGACCCAGAATAGTCTAATGTAGAAGTAAGAATTAGAAATGCTTAAATGTAAATGGAGGACATTGAAAATTTAGTAATAAATTAGTAATAAAAAGTGTTTTTCTACTCCCACCTTTAAAACGCCCTTTATCGTACATGTTTCCATGACACTAAGTGATCTTTTAAATACACATTGACAAGTTGTGGCTTTACGGCGCTTTAGTCACGGGCTGAAGTTAGCAACAGGATTTTAGTCACGGGCTGAAGTTAGTTTTAAGTTAGTTGACAGTTGTCAAATGTCATACAATCCTTAAAATAAAGTGCATTTCTTGTAAAGTAAATGTGAAAATTATTTTATTACTTATCTCAATACAAAAATATTAAATAGTTTCTTAACGCCAACATTTGAAAAGTTTATATGAACATTGTACTGACCTTTTAATTTCGCCGGCAGTAAATTATAACTTAAATTTGGGTTACGGAGTAACTCATAAAACATTTCCTTTACTTTCACTGTGAAAAACTGTAAATTTTCAACATACATTTCGATTTATAACCTTTATAATTGTTTTTATAAAATGTAAAAATGTGAATCTGAATGTGACATTTGACAGTTTCCCCTGTTGTTTCATAGATGGCGCTCTATAAAAAATTTTGATTTAAATCATTTTAAGATAATAATAAGTATTTGTCGTAGAAAAAGTATAGTATGCACCTCGTTTATAAACTTTTCATACACTCATTAACTTAAGCACTCGCTCGCAAGCTCGCTCGTGCCTAAATTAAATTCGTGTATAAAATGGCGTTTATCAAACTTGATACATAATATACTATAATTCATATATTGATGAAATAAAAGGATTTTTCTTTTTTGTATTATCGTGTATTGTGAAAAGTTTTGATTTGCAGAGCGCTTTCGGCCTTAAGCCATCTTCAGTGCTTCAATTGTCAGTTGACAGGAGTATATGTCATTTTTATTTGTTTACAGCTACTCAAATTAGTACTATACATATAACTACTAATTTGAGTAGCTGTAAACAAATAAAAATTAACATAGACATATAGGTACTCCTGTCAACTGACAATTGAAGCACTGAAGATGGCTTAAGGCCGAAAGCGCTCTGCAAATCAAAACTTTTCACAACACACGATAATACAAAAAAGAAAAATCCTTTTTTTTTTCAAAGAATAACGTGTACTCAGTCACACCTCTATTTCATATATTGATGGTTTATTAAATTGTTACATTACATTGCATTCTTTTTGTTATTAAAATATTTCATAAAATAAATTTTATATTTTATTCTCCAATGAGCTACTGCTTAATCTAGTCAACATTCTACAGTTTTGTTGATTTTTTCTCAAATGAGCAAAAACCGTATTACTTTTAAATTTGGCTTGTCTGTATTACTTTTAAATTTGGATTGTATTACTTTTAAATTTGGCTTGTCAATGGTTTTTAAAATTCACTGACTGGTTTTTTATCAGTAATTTTGTTTACAAAACTAGTCAACAATTTTTTATGACAAAATGAAAAATTGACGCCATTTAATTTTGAACAATAATATTACGTGGTAACCAGTGGTTACTAACCACAGATACCATCAACTCACCCGTCACAGGTTTCTTGATGCAAAATAATATTTTACAAATTGTTAAATATATCTGAAATTATTAACTTTATTATTTAGGTATACACCGAAAAAAATAATGTAGTTGAGTTAACATTTGCCTAAATGTCATTTTTGAAAATGTTGTTTCAACAAAAAACCTATTGGATTAATCTATATTTTGGTGTTAAAGCAATAGTCAGAGTTTGTCAAAGTTTATTTGTTCATTTGACAGTTAAAATATTGATTTAACATAAACTAATTTTTTGAAATAAAATGTTTATCCTATTTTGATTTAATAGCTGGAATAGGTTGAATCGACCACTGAAATGTTTAGGATTACCTAAAAAAACTATTAAATTAACGTTTAGTTGCTCTTTAATCCAAAACATTAAATTTGTTCATTTAACAAATTGTAAATGTTACTTTAAAATTGAAAATGTAAAATTTGCATTCATAAAATTGCCGAGAATGGCGCTTCGAACACCCGCGCCACGTCATTTTACGATGACGTGTTCTTACATCTCGCCTTAGTTGGCTTACGATTAGGGGTATAGCTATAGCTGTTTGTTTTAGGTGTGTTCCACAGTGGAACTTTCACTACACCATATTGCCCGACACTGATAAGTAGGGATGGGATATTTAGGTACTAAAAACTGAAAAATAGGTAACTAAAAAGGTACTAAAAAAAGCATTTTAGGTTAAAAAAACAGCATTTTAGGTAAAAAAAAATCATTAAAAGTTTAAGTTTCGTTTATAATTTTGTTTAGCCGCATACCCAAACACAGAACATACCCACAATAAACTATTTCTATGCAATAAACTGTGTTTTACTGAGTGACACTCACTACACAGAAGTTCTATGACAGAACATAAGCTCACTACTAGTGAGTCACTACAAAGAAGGTAACTGTAAAGAAAGTTACTGTTACAGTCTGTAACCATAAGAAAAAATTCTATACCGTTGAGTTGCACGCCCTGGATAAAATATTGGCGCAAATTTTAAAAAGAACAAAAAAAATAAAATAAGTAAAAATACCTAAAAATAGGTAACAAATATGTGAAAATAAACTGACAAATTAAAAAATATGTAACAAAAGTATAAAAAGGTAGTTTAAAGCAAAAACCTCCAAAAAAGGTAAAAAAGGTAAAAAAAAGTTAAAAAATAGGTAACAAAAGTATAAAAAAGGTAGTTAAAAGCAAAAACCTCCAAAAAAGGTAAAAAAGGTGAAAACAAGTTAGGTTCATATAAAAGAAAATCTTTTAAAACACATTTTGGCATTATTGGTTTTCAAATAGTTACATCGGTTAAAAAAAGGTAAAATAACTAAAATCCCATCCCTACTGATAAGACCCTCAATACAGGGCGAAACAGCTGTCTGTCGGTATTTAAAGTAGGTGGAACACGCTCAAAACAAAAACTCTGGGCGAGGTGAAGGTTCAATTATTTCTCTTTATATATAATAATATATTATTTCCATAATTTTGTTTTGGATACCAACCTTTAAAGAATTTTAAATTTTCAGAATGTTAATTTAACATTTTATTGGTGTTAAGTGAATATGCTAAAAAGGTTACCTGGACATTTCAAGAAATTCACCTTAACACTCTAAGAATGTTTAATTAACCAAATTAGCAGATTAGAACAAATATTCTCATTTTGTTCATTTGACTGTTATTTGTTGTTTAATTAAACAATACAATTTGACATTTTTAGATGGTTAAGTAAACGTGCAAAAACCATTGCTTGTATTTAAAGTGCATAAAGAGTTGAATTAATATTTTTGTTGTTGTTTCAACAGCTTATTTTTTTCAGTGTAGGACATAGTTTTTAATTTGCTATTTGATTAGGTAAAACATACCGAGTGTTTTATTTAAAATAAAAAGTTATTAACGTTTCAAGTTCTCGGGTAGTTTGTTGAAAAATGTTAAAGAATTGACATGAAATCTTTTAAACAATCCCAAAAATTTCACCCCTATATTCGTAAACCTAATAGCAAACAGTTGTAGGATATTTTTTATTGATGGAGCATTTGTAAAATTTTAACAAAAAAATTCTAAGATTAAGCAATGCATAATCGTCAAACTGAAAGATCAAGATTTGTTTCCAGCATATATTTAATATAAGATAAATATAAATGTGTTGTTTGTAACGAACGGGGCATGGGGGGCACACATTAATAATTAAAAAGAATAATAAAACCACAAAAAAACTACCTTTGGCCAAAACACGTGATCGTCTAGTTTAAAGAAATTAAGTTAGGACCCCTTTTTGTTGTGAATACGGTTCTGGATACGTAAGTACTTGAGCAATTGATAAGATATTTAAAAGGCAAAGAAAAAGTATTAAATTAAAATAAGTTTATTAATAAAAGAAAATTAATACAAGAGTTAATATTGTTGCTACTGTAAATTAATATTATAAATAAAAACATTTGTATTTGAATACTATCATTGATTTAAGTTAATAAGGTAAAACCTTAAAAACCCACATATACAATACAGACATGCATATGTGTCACACATCTCAACAATATAAATAATACAACAAAATCAAAGTAATCAATATGAATATAATCAATTATATTATCATATTGCTAAGATTATTCACCTACATAAATGGTAGGCTCGGACGGTGTAGAAAAGCAAATACACATTGAAATAATTATCAATGTACAGTAACAAACAACAATAATGTGAAACATAAAGTTTAATATAACTCACAAACAACAATAATAAATGGTATTTGTATAAATAAAATATATAA